AACAATGAGTAACCAAATGAATCAATCCATTCATTTTTTACTTTTTTTTTCAAAACGATTTGTTTGAAATAAATGTCTCAATTGAAGAAATAATTTAAACTAAGTTACGAAACATCCGAAAATCTAATTTTTCTGCACATTGGGATATTACAAATATATTACTTTTATTGATAACAATCTACCCAATGTTCAATTTATTCGGAATTATCCAATCAACCGTTGGTAATGATACCCATAAAAGAAAACAATTGTTTTTTTTTTATAAGAAAAATTCTGTTTCAGTAATTTAAAAGTATATCTGTTTACTATTCAAGTCATGAATGTTCAAAGTTCGATCTCCGGCAGGATTTTGAGTTTACCATGGTGATCAGATACAAAACTATTTAATGGATGATATGATATAATCAAAAATAATTGAATGTTATTCTTTAAAAACATGAACAAAGTCAACCAGTTATTAGATCAGAAGGGATTCTGTAGATATTATAGTAATTTTAATAGATGAGATCATTAGTCCATTGAAGCTAGACCATCATGGAGATAGGCCATAAAGCTAGACCATCACTAGGACAAGCTTATTAGACATACATATAGAAGTTTAATGTATTAATGAATCTAATAATACTCCTTGTACATCGTATAAATAACCGTCTTTATAGCTCAGTTCGGTATAGAATTCATTGACACACGGTAATTACTGACACTATATTCAATTATTTTTATCGATAAATGTCGATTAGAAATCCTGTTCTCGGTAATTTAACACAATGTACGAATATAATGTGTATGCTTGTGAGTCTGGCATTATGTCAAGTACATATAGGCTACTCTAGCTTCTGAACAGACCAATTTATTCATTTTTAGCAAGCTAGCTACATTTCGACATTGTCACTTATTTGTTTGTTAACCATGTTCGTTTTTATGTGTTCATATATGTGTTCATTACTTACCCTATTCATTATTTAACTGTAACGTATTTTATTTGGCTATAAATATGGATTCACTTATGGTTAAATGGAGTTGGCTTACACCTTCTTTCCAGTTCATCGACACTTGTTCCTCTTTCCAAATCTTCCTGAATAGAACGTAAATCATTTTCGCCGTTACTTCTATATCTGACTTTAGTGCTTCAGCCGGTTTATTGTCAAGTCCTGTCACTTTCCCAAACTTGATTTGTCTGATGAACATGTTGATTTCTTCGATTGTAGTTAGAGTGGCAGCTATAGAAAGATTTGTGTGTGTTGCTTCGATATCCGGTGAATTCAACGAGGCTGGTCTATTCGAGAATTCCTCAAAGTATTGTACCTATATGTTCCGTTGTTCTTGAGTCTCAGTGGTTGTCTTGCCTTCTTTGTCATTGACCGGTCTCTCTGGTTTACCATATTTCCCTTCGCGTTTCTTCGTTGTGACATATAGTTGTTTCGTGTTTCCTTCTGTTGCAGCTTTTTCCACTGTCATTGCTAGCTCTTCCACGTATTTCTGCTTATCGACTTCAATGCTCCTGTTCATTTGGTTGTTTGCTTCTGTGTATTCAGCTTATGCCTTGAGTATTTTTAATTGCGGTCATCTTTATCTTCCTTTTTTGAATGATGTCTAGTATTGTGTAATATCCCATTTCTCCAACGGCAAATTTCGCTATGAGCTAAACCAGAAATGTGAATCAATCATTTCAAAATGGTCTAGCCGACTTATTTTTCAACTTTTGCTCTGTGCAGAACAATAGGTGAAGATTGGAAGGAAGAAGACATAAAACTTGTAATAAGTACATTTTAGTGCTTTTCAGTATTTAATAAAGTTACGGTTTACATTGGAATGTAATAAAATGAAGATAGTTACTTATTTTCCGTACATATTCTAACAATCTGTCAGTTTTTGTCCATTTCTATATCTTTATATTGTGAGAGTAAAATGCTGTAACCTGAAATTTACACTTTACCGTGATTAGTCCCTTGTCACATCTCGAAATTTATTATAAACATTCATGTAATTTACATTGTATCACTATCTATCACATAAAAAAAACCTGGGGCCCCTCTAGGTCCCCGGCAGGCTCCATGCCCGGATAAATGAGAAGGGTTGGGCATTGGGTTAGCGACTCTATCCCATAGAAAATTAACTCGCTGAAAGAGAACGCTAACTAGAAAATCTATCAGATAAGCGATAAAGTTAATGAGATCTTTTTTCATGTTTTGTAGACAAGGTTCTAATTATTCTACTTTTTAAACTCAAACGACACAAGAAACCAAGAATAAAAATCAAGCTTTTCATTTAAGATTAATCTATATTTAGGGGGAAAAAGTATTTATTGAATTATACGAGTCTTTATTACTTCAGATATCCTCAGAAGAGATATTTTTGCCATCATATGCATTGAAACTTACAGGAAGTTATACTCTTCTGAATTTTTTCTTGTTGATATTCTAGGCTGTTCCTTGAAGAACTGTCTAAAAATAATCTTATCATATAGCCGATATCCAGAAAATCTTTTAACTTCTTACCCTCCATGTATTTAGTAAATCGCATATATTTCTTGTAGTATTCTATTCTTATATACAACTACTGAATTAACTACTTCTATGAATCCAGTGTTCATCTTGCTATGCTAATGAGGTATAGCAACTTGAATCGATGCATATATATATATATATATATATATATATATATATATATATATATATATATATATATATATATATATATATGCCCGATGCTTTATTGTAGCTAACCGACTGAGTATTCTGCTCATTTTTAGTTAACTTATCATACTAGTTATTATCATTTCAACAAATTTATTTGTAATATAAAAAGAAAAACGTACATTTACATTCATATTTCATGTACGATCAATCTACAATGTCAATATAATGCCCATTTCCAATGTTTATTTTAACCAGTGAATAAACTGACAATACATCGATAATCGATAAACAGTTTTATAGGATACACGATAAAGATGTCTATTCATTAGTTTAACTCTTTAATTCACTCTCTTTTTGAAATATATTCTTGACAGTTGGCAACTTTTAGTATAACCACACAATTTATTATTATTATTATTATTATTATTATTATTATTCGTTACCGTTGGGGGGGGGGAGGGGGAATAGATATACATGCATGTATACACATGTATATAAATATAATATTTGAATGTACTAGTTGCTTGTCATAATTATTGATTATATATTTAAATAACATACTTTCTTTAAGTAGTCTATGTTCAATGTGACTAAAATTAATATGTTAGTAATGTTTTCAATGAATGATGTAATCTAGAAGAATCATACTTATAATGAGGAAGATATCATTACATTACTATTTGGAGCGTGTGATATACACTATAGGATATTCAATGGTAATAGTATGGGAGAAAAAGTTTTGTTATTGTTTTAAACTGACCAAAATATCAGGAACTAATCTTAGTTAGAACACCATTGAAAAGTTGAAATCATTGAGATGGTGTAAAAGATTTGTAGCTCAGGTGGATGATTTTAATGGAGTTTTGTTCTCTGAGCTAGATGGTTTGGTCGTGGAGCTTCCATTGTTCTTCTTCTGGAAGACATCATCAGCACAAACTTCAGATAGAAATGAAGTGTTCGAATTTCTCTATATGATTTTCACAGCTTGTTCTACACACTTTGACGTTGATTGGTTCTTATTGACCTTAAATTTGTCATTGTTTACTTCGAACACTTCAATTCTATTTGAAGTCTGTGCTGATGATGTCGTTCAGAAGAACGATGAAAGCTCTACGACCAAACCATCCAGCTCAGAGAACAAAACTCCATCAGTTGAAATTATTGGATAACCGTTTCATTTTAGTATGAAACTCTTGACAATCCGGTATTTGGAGATAGGACCTAAATACCTCCGATTTGGATGGCATATGAACGCTTAATATCTAGAACCATGAATCGGTATCCAAAAAATGTTTCAAGATGAATTGACAAGTAAAACGGTACATGTCATACAATGTGTTTTAAGCTTTAAAGTGTTAGACTTGTCAATTAAGATAGTAATTGTTCATGATAAGCTAGTTTCCAGTGATCTTTGAACAGGTAGAAATCTGTTATCATAAGTATATTCATACTGATTCAATTCATATAGTTTACTTTATGAACTTGAAAAATATTGAACATTTTGCAATGATTAATTCTTTGATCAAATAGATAATAATGATAATTATTCCATTCATTCATTAAGTACAGATTGTTTTAGTCGACTTTGAACTATACTTTAGTTTGAAGGTTAGTAAGATTGTAATGATTCATAAGCTGAAGAAAATGAAATAATAGAAAAGCCTAAAATTTACTGATTAAAATCTGAGTCCTTACATTCTTTTCTGGTAAGCGTTTTTTTTAGCGAGTTAGTTTTTCTACGGGATGGGTTCCTAACCCCATACCCAACCCTCCTTCTTTACCCGGGCTTGGGACCGGCAGTAACTCTGGAAGAGCTACAGGCGGAGTTGAGGTTTGTGAGGAAATCTCCTCTACATTACGAAGACGTTTGGCTGTTTATCTTTCACGTAGGGTATGATACATTTGTAATTTAGGCATTCTCCAACCCGCTCTTTCCTGAGCCTTCTTTTCTTGTTCTATCCAATTTTTGTTCATTTTTTTCATATCTGTCTTCCTTTCTCGGCGTAATGTGTTCATTAGTCTTTCTCTTATCCTTTTGGCCTTGAGGATTCCATTCCGCCTAGAGACTCTCTATGCTTACTGCCGATTCTAAGGTCGAATGAAAGAGAAGAATTGAACATGGGATTAGCAATCCCATCCCATGGGAAAGAAACTTGCTATAAAAAAAACGCTAACCAGAAAAAAGTAATTCAAACCAGCTTTTATTTAACTTATAACTAATTCAATCATAAGGGAATATCTCATTGAATACATGAATTCTCATTATGATTATTTAAGTATAGTAAGGCATTTTATTTATCATGAACGTTTATCTATTTATACATGAATTCTTTTATGGTTTTTGTTTTATTTTGTTTTCAGATTGTATTAATATTTTCACAGGCTGATAAACAAACTCAATTAATGATTGATGCAGCTCAACAATTAAAACATAATTGTACATTGATCAATACAATTAAAGAGAATACAACAAAAAAAGATATAGATAAGATTATTAATGAAAAACTTATTGATTTACAACAGGTTAGTACTTCTCTCTCTCTCTCTCTCTCTCGATGTTACTGTATTTATTAACACATACAAGTGTTCATTCTAGATGGTGGTTGGAGGTAGTCAACAGGAAACCCTGGACCCGGGTTTCGTGCTAGTTGGCACTCGTCAGCAAGGTGTACCTGTAATCTTGAGGGAACTGGTGCTCCCTAGCGGATTCGGTCCCGTGTCACCCAGCTTCACAGTCAGAGACGTTACCACCGAGCTATCCGGGTCGCGACTGACCTCCTGTAATTACAATTGACTGATCACTGGTTAGTGATCAATGTCATGTATGTCAAGTCCTTATTTAGTGCTGATCGAATGCATGACAAGTGTTTATTCTATTTCTTTATTCATTTATTATTATACTAATTTACGTTGAATGTAAGATCTCTGGTTTAAACAGAAATACTGTTTAGTTACAAAACATAATGAATAAGATTTGTTATGAAATGATAAGAAAACACGTATTTGGAATCCAACTGGATCTGTTGTGAAATAGTATTTCATTGAAGACGATGGTGGATTTGTTGCTCGATTTCGTGGATTAGTTGAAATTAGATATTAACACCATTGGATGCCATTTTAGTGGTTTAAGAGTTTAAGCTTCCGCGCGTGAGATTGATAGGTCCTTGGTTCTGATCTCGAGAAGTAGAGTCCTGAATGTGCAGTACTGAGGAGCCTCACAATAGGACGAAACTGCCGTTCAGTTATTCTAGGTTTTCTATTGTGGTTTAGCTCCAACTGACTCATGATCTCAACTATTGAAATTACGATAATATCTACAAAAACCCCTTCGAATAAATATTTGTTTAACTTTATAAAATAACGAAGTCTGATTTCTTACAAGATCTTACTAAACACATTCATCTATAACGAAGCAGATATGATTATAGCGAGAAATCAATTTAGAATAATGTAAATTTAATATGATAGAGATGTTATGAACCGCTAATTACTAGGACTGGAATTAAAGTTCATTTAACTAAGTCTATTTGACAAATGGTCAGTTGTAAACTGAATAACTTATTGATAATGTACCCAGCCATGATAATTGGTTACATGGATTCAAATTTCGTGACTAGTAACGGTTCCTTAAAGATTTCATGCAGTTACTAACGATAGGTTTATATGAAATATAATGTGAATGCATCTATTAGCAGTCAACTCAATATAGTGGTTATGATCGAACGAAATTCTGGCTCAATGAAAGTCCTTGAAAGATGAGCGACCTAAATTTAATTATTAAAAGTTAGTAATAGTTACTACTGCTTCTACCAGGCTAACCTTTAGGTTTCACCATGAAAAATGTCCCACCGACAATTATCAATTGATTACTAATGACAATCTAATAAAGACAATTTCCAGAGTTCTAGAGAGAAACCATAATCATTGAAGTTCGAATTTGTCACGAGTCAGACAGTTATCCACAATTACAATTGATTGATCACTGGGTGGTGGTGATCAATGTCTTGCTTGTCTAGTCCTTATTAGTGCAGATCGAATGCTATCGATCATGTTGCAATGTGGCCACCAGTCTAGGTGACTCGACACTGCGGGCACTATGTATTGAGATTTCGATGGTGGTTGGAGGTAGTCAACAGGAAACCCTGGACCCGGGTTTCGTGCTAGTTGGCACTCGTCAGCAAGGTGTACCTGTAATCTTGAGGGAACTGGTGCTCCCTGGCGGATTCGATCTCGTGTCACCCAGCATTCGATCTGCACTAATAAGGACTAGACAAGCAAGACATTGATCACCACCACCCAGTGATCAATCAATTGTAATTACATCTCAGTCCTACAGGAGGTTGGTCACGGCTCGGATAGCTCAGTGGTAACGTCTCTGACTGTGAAGCTGGGTGACACGGGACCGAATCCGCTAGGGAGCACCAGTTCCCTCAAGATTACAGGTACACCTTGCTGACGAGTGCCAACTAGCACGAAACCCGGGTCCAGGGTTTCCTGTTGACTACCTCCAACCACCATCGAAGTTATCCACAATACCCAATAGAACACGGTCTCACATTATCGCAATTTGTTTGAAATGAGATGTCAATACTGTCGAATATCAGTTCAGTGATCTAAATGTTAATCGCTCGTCCGTGATTTATTCTATTTCTAGATGGATGGATATTCGTGTACGTCTGAGGAACCCTATACTAGGACGAGACCGCTGTCTAATACCTTTAGGTTTTCATTGATTATCGAATTAAGATCAATTTGTCTCTTTAATCAAATGTACACTTAGTTTAGTCGTCATGTAACAAATAAATTCTTCTGTATCATCATTGTTGTTTGTCTCATTTATTTCAATTAGATGATTTGCTTTGTAAAACCCATTTCTGATAAACATGGATGAAATTTATTATGATTTCAGTAAATAAAATCAATAATGTTTTACAGGATTAATAGTGTTTAGGTAATGAGGACATTACTAACCAAGTTCATTTAAGGTCAGCCTTAGATTTTTGTTAAAATATCCTTTGTAGTGAAGCACAATGGGTGGGAGTGACGGAGGGGGGTGGGTGGAGCGAATAAACAAACTTTGAAAACTGAAACCTTAGCTGAAAATTGGTGATAGATAATTAAAATATTGATTATTTTGATGGTTTAATCATTTCTTCACGTGACTGTACCTTAACTTGAAAAGAATTTATATATTTAGATCTTTTTTTTTCTTAAGATCCTATGATCTAGCATTATTTTAATTGTTCTGGGTAGATGCGTCAGCAATACATGTTTAGAATTTTCATTCTTTTGTAATTTATATGAATGTTTCACAGATTGAAATCATGAGTCGATTGAAGCTAAACCACCATGGAAAACCTGGAAGCACTGGACGGCTGTTCCGTCCCAGTATGAGACTCCTCAGCAGTGCGCATCCACGATTCCGCACCCCGCGAGATTTCAACCCAGGACCTATTGGTTTCGCCAGCTCAATGGTCTAATAGTTAAGTGCTCGCGCGCGAAACGGCCGTCCAGTGCTTCCACGTTTTCCATGGTGGTTTAGCCTCAATCGACTCATGATTTCAACCTATGAAATTTCTAACATCTCCACAAAACCCATTCTTATATGGATATATTTACGTTTCTGATAAGTTGATAAATAAATTTCTTCTGATCAAATCTTGTTATTGTTTATGGGAATACAATTTTTTTGTATACAAACACTGTAATTATATATACACTAATTAAAGTAGAAAGGTATATCAAATATAATGAAAAGACCTGATTAATACAACACATATTCATTATAATCGGTGCGAGATATTGGTGAAAGCTGGTCGACTTACTATTAATATTTTTGACGTGGTTACTAATCATTATGCATCGACATAATTACAGTTTTTTAAATATAGATACATTGTTGATAGATCATAAAGAAACACAAAATGCTTACTTAACTTACTCCTGTTACTCTCAATGGAGCATAGGCCGCCGACCAGCATTCTCTAACCCACGCTGTCCTGCACCTTCCTTTCTAGTTCTATCCAATTGTTGTTCATTCTTCTCATATCTGTATCCGTTTCTCGGCATAATGTGTTCTTTGTTCGTCCTCTTCTTCTTTGCCTTTGAGGATTCCGATTGAGAGCTTACTTCGGGTCACAGTTCGGTGCTTTCCTTAATGTGTGTCCTATCCACTTCCAGTACTTCTTCCTGATTCCTCCCTCCACTGGAATTTGGTTTGTCCTCTCTCACAGTAGGTTGTTGCTGATACTGTTTGACCAACGCATCAGAAGTATTTTGCATAGACAATTGTTAATAAACAATTGTATCTTCTGGATGATGGATTTCATGGTTCTCCAAGTTTCCATTTCATACAGTAGAAGTGTCTTGACATTTGTATTGTAAATTCCAAGTTAAGAGACAGTTGTTTTGAGTTCCAGATATTCTACATTCGTAAATATGCTACTCTTGCTTTACTAATCGGTGTCTTCACATCTGCATGAGATCCATCATATTCATCAATGATGCTGCCTGTACATGGGAAGGTTTTTACCTTCTCCAAATCTTCTCCATCAATTGTGATTCGATTGATGCATGTTGTGTTGTATCTGAGAATCTTGCTTCTCCCTTTGTATAAGTTCAGACCTATTGCTGCTGAGGCTACTGTTACACTGGTTGTTTTCTCTTTCATTTGTTGTTGCGTGTGTGATAGAAGAGCCACAATATTTAGTTTCAGAATATTTTTCGATAAAGATTGTAATTAAACGGAGTTTACCTTGATTTATTAGTAGTCAACGAAGGAATTTTATTGCATTCTTTTTATCTGATTATCTTACCTTGAGAAACCTGGCTAACTACTTATCCCAATCTCTAGCGTAAAATATCCTTTGTGAACTTAAAACCATACAATATTGCTGGTTATTGCTACTCAAGGACTAATTACTGTAGGAATCGATTTCTCTCAGAACATAGGACATCGAACCACACTACTTGAAGAGTTATTGAAGAAACGAAATGCTACTTATTTCATAATCAATGTAATTATATTTTAATAATTTTTTTTGGTGTAAAAATCAAAGATTCAATAGAATTTCTTGCTTATACCAAATAATTTGCATACTTTTCTATTCATTGTTTTCTATATGATCCACTTAGATTATTGATATGGTTGTACTGGATATTCGTAAACTGAAGCCGAACCGGTCTTTCAGTATGTCCGGTACCAAATCGTCACAATCCCCAGAAATTAATATCAGTAATAATAACATTAGTCCATCATTGAGCAACTGGTGCAACCAACTTAGAAGTTATTCACTGACAAAAGATTCAGTTATTGTAGGATTATTGAGTCGGAAATGGTGAGTTATTATTTGCTTATAGTATCTATACGTAGGTATGGTATCGTGTTTAACTGTATAATACTAATGATATGAAGAATTCTAATAAATAGGTGGCTAAATCCTATACTGTCAAAGAGTAAACGTAACCTAGGCAATAATTTGAAAATGTTTTATGACATTACTTGTTTAGAAAAACACTTTAAATATGTGTTAGTGTACATCTGCTCAAAATCGAACCTTTAATTATCAAGATTAAAGCTAATTAACAATATTCCTCGTGATAGACACTGGTAACTCGTGACCATATGATTATTGCATAGGATTTGTAAAAACTTCATAATCTTTACAAAGTCATGTATCGATTCTTGTAACTTCATATCATCCTGTTACATCGTAAACTACTAGTGTTGTAGTTTCGAAAACAAATTCATTTTTATGTAAAGCTAAATACATTATTAGATGTTTCTTCAAGCACTGCCTATTTCAATACTTTATGTTCGCTTGTATAGGGGTTGTGGAGATTATTAAGTTTTTGATTGAGATCATGAACCAATTGATGTTAGACCATCACAATTAAAAACCTTGAGGCACTGGTCGGCCGTTTCGTCCTATTGTGGGACTCCTCGGCAGTGCGCATCCACGATCCCGCGAGACTGAAGGCCCTGGGTTCGAAGCCCGCTCGTGGGATCATGGATGCGCACTGCTGAGGAGTCCCACAATAGGACGAAACGGCCGTCCAGTGCTTCCAGGTTTTTAATTGTGATGGTCTAACATCAATTGGTTCATGATCTCAATCAAAAACTTTATGTTCGCTTGTATAGATCTAGACTGGAAGTAAGCTAGAACCAATTAATTCGAAACATGGAGTCTGTCCATAAAGTGATTGACTATTGGATTGGTCTATGTTAGTAAGTGTAGACTACCTGATTGTGATCGGCGTGATCATCATGATCAATTTTTTGAAACGTTGGATGATATTTATCAGAATTGATCTCACTGATGTAGGTACACTAACTCCTATTTCCATAGACTTTCAGTTTAATAATTTTTATCCCATGATTAGGTTCTTACATCTCGAATAATATTTTTTATGCCTAATACTTTATGTTACAATTGACATTTTTATTACTTCCATAACCGTGACATTTGTCTTGATAGTTTCATCTCTCTCTGTGCTGATATAATGTGACAGCTTGTAACAATGTATAAATATCCAAAGTTATATGTTGTTTATGTCTGTTTGATATTGGATGTTTAAAGACTATGGTAATGACATACTGACAAGAGATGGAGAAAGAAATTAAATGACAACCATCTTTTCTTGATAATAACAAAAATCAGTGTCACCTCAATACGTCGGAAAACACAGATCTTAGTGAACAGTTTATACGTTATCTTTAACTTTAGTCGGTTTGTAGAAGACACAAATTTCATCAACAACATGTCATTACTGAGTTATTACCTCAATCACGACTTAGTTTATTCCATCGGTCACAAGCTTCTCACTAGAACTATGAGTTACTCAACATGAAACTTAACACACTTCATCTTATGTCTGGTATTTAGTTGATAATGTAAGCATCATAACCATATCTCAAAACTTCTTATGCTAATTAAACATCAAATTAGATTTTAAAAAATCATTCAATGTAGTTCTCTCATAGAAGAAAGATAAAAGAGTCCGCTTCTGTAAAATGTAAAACAATAGGAAACACTTCCTGTATAAATAATCAAAGTCTGTCAAAGACAACTATAAATTGACTAACATGGAATAAATACAAATATAATATACAGCATCCCAGGTAACAGATATTAAAATACATTAATTTCATGTCAATACAAGATGTGATCAATGCTATTATAATGTTAATCAGTTGGTCAATAGCTGTTAAATCACTATATACTCTCAAAAGTTCTATAATCACTTAAGTGTTCTGATTTACTAACTGGTCTCTGTAATTAGTAAGTAAACTACTTAATGGATGATATGATATAATCAAAAATATTTGAATGTTATTCCTTAAAAACATAAACAAAGTCAACCAGTTGTTAGCTCATAAGGGGTTTTGTGGATATTATAGTAATTTTAATTGATGCGATCATGAGTCAATTGGAGCTATGAGATTATGAACCGATTGATGCAAAACCATCGTTAGAAACCTGGAAGCACTGGACAGTCGTTTTATCCTATTGTGGGACTCCTCAGCAGTGCGCATCCACGGTACGGCTCGCGGGATTCGAACTCAGGGCCTTCGGTCTCGCGTGCGAGCGCTTAACGTACTGAGCCGGTGAAGAATTCATTGACACATGGTAATTAGTGACATTATGCTGAATTACTTTTATCGATAAATGTCGATTGGAAATCCAGTTCTCGGTAATTTAACACAATGTACGAATATAATGTGTACGCTTGTTGATCTGGCATTATCTCAAGTACACATAGTCTACTCTAGCTTCTGAACAGACCAATTTATTCATTTTTAGCAAACTAGCTACATTTTGACATTGTCACTTATTTGTTTGTTAACCATGTTCGTGTTTATGTGTTCATGTATGTGTTCATTACTTACCCTATTCATTATGTATCTGTAACTTATTTTTATTTAACTATAAATATGGATTCACTCATGGTTAAATGAAGTTGACTGACTCGTCTTCCACACTGTGCATCGTTTCATTTCATTTCACTTCCTTCACTGTGTTTCATTGATTGCGTATCTAGATCAAAGTTTGTGTGAAATATATTCACTATCGCGATTTAAGTTGATAATTATATACGAGGGTTGAAGGCATGTATATTTCGATGATCATCATAATACAATATAATTGGATTGAGATACCAGTCCACTAAAAGTGATGAGTCTGTCAATAATACCACTGTCCTATCCAATTGGTGTCAAAATGAAGAACCACTTAAACGCTTATCTATAAGTGTCATTATTATTCTTTCTTATCAGCAGAATTTGAGTTCAGTGAGGTCTGGTCAAAGATAAACTTATTATTGAGAACAGATTTAAAGTTATCCATCAGTTGCTTGTTGATATTCTACGATAACTAAAAGGGACTACAATCGGCTTCTATTTACTATCTTTTCATTGTGAACAATATTGGCTCTTAACCTCTGTTACTTGAGGAATAAACTTTTGCAACGTTCTAGATACCTTTAAGTGAATTTATTGACTTGATATCATGAGTTGCTCCTAATTGGCTCTAATACTCTTGTATCTGAGAGGTTAAACTCCGTTACTTTCAGTCGTATGTCATCTCAGTTTTGTACATATTGACTCTTTTGGGTTCACAGTTTTAATGCTTATACTTGACAATTGTTAACTACTTCAATTCTTCATCCTACTGTTTATACTTTGAAAAGCGAAACTACTGGAATTCCTACAACACAAAGTAAGAATATGAATGAATAATGTAATGAAGATATGTTGGCTCTCCATAACAGGTTTTCAAACATGTCCTAAAATCACGTTCCAAATCACATTGATCATGACAACGAAACAGAATCATTTATCTACTAAATTTTACATACATTATACATTAACACATATAAGTAGAAATACAAAATTGCTGTTCAAAATATACAATGAATTTAGTTCATCTGAAGAGATACAATAAATATAATTGTCATATTTAACATAAATCACACGTCCTATTAAAAGAATTTGGAACTGAATCAATACAAAATATAGTGTAGTATTTTTTTTATCCTGTCCTATTGAATGCACATCACAACGGCCAGTATTCTTCGTATTCTGTTGCCAAGGCTGACACATTTGATTATAGAAGTTAGAGATTCAGCATCTATTCTTCAAAACAAACAAACAAATAAGACTATTATTATCAGATTGGTTGAAGTTAGACATTAACACCATTGGATGCCGGCCGTCTCAGTGGTCTAGTTGGTTAAGCGCCCGCGTGCGAGACTGATAGGTCCCGGGTTCGAAGCTCGCGGGGTGCGGGATCGTGGATGCACACTGCTGAGGAGTCCCATAATAGGACAAAATGGTCGTCCACTGCTTCCAGGTTTTCCATAGTGGTCTAGCTTCAATTGACTCATGATTTCAACCAGCGAAACAAGACTATACCTTGAGATTGTAAATAAATCAGCCTAGCAATTATCAACATGCATTACATAATAGATATTTCTAGACAAATAACTGCTTAAAAGCTTAAATATTATGAGAAACTAAAAGATATTTGAATGACTATAGTCCTAATATAACTAAACACGTTTATTTAGTGTACTAACATTCTATTCGATATTTGGATATATTATTATTCTTCCCACTTATTACATTCAATTTTACAGCTCTTCTGATCAAAGAAAAATACTCATGAATAAAGCTCTAAAATCTGGTTGTAATAAGGTAAGTAAACAACATATTTTGTTTTCACTGATTGAAATCATGAATCAATTGAAGCTAGACCACCATGGAAAACCTAGAAGCACTGGATGGCTTTTCCGTCCCCGTATGGGACTCCTCAGCAGTGCGCATCCACGATCCCAAACCCCGCGAGACTAGAACCCAGAACCTAACAGTCTCGCGCCAGGCGCCTAACCAACTAGACCACTGAGTCGGCAGGCATCCAGTAGTGTTAATGTCTAACTTAAAAAAATCCACGAAGTTGCTCCACCGTACACCATTGTCTTCAGTGAGTTGATATCTCACAACAGACCTGGTTAAACTCCACTGGTAACGGCTTCTCACTAGAACTTCAGGAGTATCTCTTGAAGTCAGTCACTAATGAGAAGATCATTATAATCAGAAGGGGTTTTGTGGAGATTTTAGAAATTTCACTGGTTTTCTTGTTTAACTTTCACCATGTTCTAAATCTTCATCTCTCTTCTAAGAAAAATAATGTGTAAACATCCTTCCATAAAACGTTTTATTCAGTTTTGTGTTTAGTAATTCAAAAAAGAGTAATACTTAAGTTTGTAATTGTTCAAGTGGTATATTAGAAAGAAGTGTTAGATTTACCCCCAACAACTTACAGCCTATTATTCAATACACTAGAAGTGAATGTCTGCGAAATATCGTCCTTCATTATATTTCTCTATTCTTTTCAGTAGTCTTGCATTCAGATGAAATATAGGAAAACTAAATTTTATCATTCTAAATTCACTTGATCTTGTTTGTTTGAATCTACCCATTGAGGTTTAACGCTTCAATTAATCAGTCTGTTATTGGCATATGTACATACTGTGCGTATTCCCTCGATATTGCTTTAATTCAAAAGCATTATAGACAAAGATGGATAATGGCTAGCAATAGAATCCAGATAAGACGAAACGCGCATCCCGGATTCCACTGCTAGCCACATACATCTTTTCTTATCAAATTTATCATTCTCAGTTTGTCATAACTATAGTATATTTTTAATGCACTGATGTGCAGAAGATTAAATGTTTGATGATTCTTGACTAAGTATAAGTTGTTAATTCAGAGAATAAATAATTGTCAGTATGGGGTTGTGGAGATTGTTCAGTTGAAATTGATATTATTAATGGATCAATAATCTTCACAAACCTACACTGATAATTATCATGTGCTCACTAGTGACTAACTTCAAGATTGATTTCCTGGAATTCTAATGAGAATCTGTGACCAGTGGAGTTCAACCGTGTTTGTTGTAGAAGCAGTTACTCACTGAATACAATGAAGTACGATCGTGTAATATCGCAGTTTGGTTGACGTTTGACATTAACACCATTTGATGCTAGCTCAATGGTTTGGAAGTTAAGTGTTTACACACACCAGACCGAATGTATTGGATTCAAGTCCTACGTGTGAGATCGTGGATATGCACTTCTAAGGTGAAACGGCTGTCCAGTGCTTCCAGGTATTCAATAGTGATCTCATATTGATCCATTTATAAGATCAATCTAAACTCAATCAATAATTGAATAATTCGTATGAACTATGCTCTAAGTTTATATCAAATGACCAATTTGAATCACAATAAGATTCTTCATTTAAACTACAATCAATTCATGATAAATAATCAATAAATTTAATTGTCGTTTAAAAATTAAATTACAAAATTCAATAATGATTTAATTATTGATCAAAATTTAATCAGATCTTCTATCTATATGAGTCAATCAAAATCGATCTGGTAGATTATTGAATTATTATTATTAAAAAAAATCAATATTTTTTCAATAAATATCATTATTGATATGATTTGATTATTAAATAATTTAATTTTCAGGATTTTTTATTTCTTTATTGTTAAAGATGTTTAACTGAATAGTAATATTACAGTAATATGTATTAAATATGTTGATGGAGTTTTGTTCTCTGAGCTAGATGGTTTGGTCGTGTAGCTTTCATCGTTCTTCTTCTGGACGACATCATCAGCACAAACTTCAGATAGAAGTGAAGTGTTCAAATTTCTCCATATGTGTTTCACAGCTTTTTCTGTACACCTCGACGTTGATTGGTTCTTATTGACCTTAAATTTGTGCTGATACTGTCGTTCAGAAGAACGATGTAAGCTCCCCGACCAAACCATCTAGCTCAGAGAACAAAACTCTATCAAAATCATCCACCTGAGCTACAAATCTTCTCCGTACTAAATATGTTCAACTATTTATTCGTTGTTGATCTTAGCTATCGTGGTTTCTTAGTTGATGAAAATTTCTTTTGATAGCATCGATAGATAGAGTTTCACCCAATTGTTGAGGTAATGAGTCCCATTCATTGTTGATTCGATGGGAAAGTAATTTGTTCTAGGCTTGTAAAGTTTTTGTGAGTGTTCTCGTAAATTCTCTGTTCTGCAACATAAGAAAAGTGAGGGCATATCAGATGCAAATATATCAATAAGTAATCTAAAATCAGTGATCAAGTCACATCTGGTTCTTCTATACGACATTGAAAATGGGTTTAATTCAGTCATTCGAGCATCATATGGTAGCTTTGCTAAATCGGGAATCAAATTATCTATGGTTCTTTGAACCTTTCCCAACAACTCACTGTCTTCTTTTAGGCAGGGTTTAGCAGCTTGTACGAATACTGTATACAAAATCAAAAGGGATTTAGCATTGACATGACTAAAGGCTTTACGTATTGACAACAGGGTTCTAAAAACTTTGGCGGCTACACCACGGCAGTGTGCAGTAGATTTAAAATCTCGGCTAATGATGACTCCCTAGTCGTCTTGTGTCTGCACACCACGTAGCACACTGTTATTCAAAGTGTATGAATATGTACCTTGGTGACTAATATGCATCACAATCCACATAGAAACCTTTATCGCCAACTGCCAGATTGTAAAACATTCAGATAACTTCTCCAGGTCATTTTGAAGTTCTAATATATCACCTTTACTCCTTATTGCTCTCCATACCTTGACATCTTCAGCAAATAACAAAACCGATGGTGATAGGAGACTGCGAGGGTCTTTTACAAACAGGAGGAACAACACAGGCCCCAAAACTGTACCTTGTGGAACTCCTTTAAGCACAGCTTCTCAACTAGACAACTTGGAGTTCATCAGTCCTCTTTGCTGGCACTCAACTAGAAAGTTCTTTATCTGCATTAATAGACTACCTCCAACCCCGATATTACTTAACTTATATAACGGCCGGCTGTGAAAAACTTTGTCAAAAGCTTTGATGAAGTTAATGTAAGCTATATTAATAGGTGACTTTTGATCATTAAGAACGCACCAACATTTATGGGTTACTAACAAGTTCATGAAATGAGATTAACCTGTTCTAAAACTACGTTGCTTTTCAGAAGGAATCCTGTTTTCGTCGAAATACTTAAATAAATCCCTCCGAATAGTCCTTTCCAAAAATTTTAACAACCATTCTGGTTAAACTTACGGGCTTATGTATCGTACCTGTTTTGAAGATAGGACTTACTATGGCATTCTGCCACTCTTTCTGTAACGACTCGGGGTTACAAATAGATTGAAACATATGCTAAAGGTATTCACTACAAAATTTGTTAATTCTTTTAATAAGCTAGGATGCATTTCATCGGGCTTCACGGATTTGTCTGTATCAAACTCATTTAGTAGATCAAAAACTTCGAATTATTTAGTGGTGACAGTGTCTAGTGTGTATGAACTGAAGTTGAAGGCATCTCTACGGTAAATACATTGCTAAAGTAGTTCGAGAATAGCTGATCTTTACCGTAGTGCTACTTTTACCCCATAATGTTGGAAGATTTCTTCTTTTATTAGTCTTTTGGTTTGTGCACGAATATAAGCGTCTATGGAGTTCTATAGATGCCCTAACAAATTTTTGTTTTACAAAGGATCAAGGCACAAATATTTAGAGCTTCTGGATATTGAGATTTTGTTTCGTTAGTACCCAATAGCCTAAATCCCTCTCTCATTCTTCTCCTCTTATGGAGAAGGGTCTGAAAATTGCTGAATTTTGTAATGTGTAAAACTGAAAGTCAATGCAATGAATTCCAATGGGTATTTATGAAAAACGGAGTTCAACCATGTTGGATGTGAGACGGGTATCAAATGGATAATGAACATCTACTTTACGAACTTGAATTTAAAAACGTAAATCATTGGATGATGACTGAGTAGCCTATAAATTAAGCTTTCCTTATTTAATTCCGAATTTGTTAGTATGTTAAGAGTAATCCTTTACAAAAAAAAGCAAATGATTTTTGTTTTACGCGTACACAGAAATCCTTAGTACTTCGATTATCTAATGAGAATGATGTAATAGTTCACTGACGTAGTTCAGTTAATAATACTATTCTGGGATGAACTTGAACGGTCTATTTCTTTTACCTATGAACAATGCTAAGGAGTTCGATATTAAGTAGAAATATTTTTTCTAATGATTTTTATACTTATGTCAGTCAACGACAAAAATTATCCATGGTTTATGATACCATTGTCTAAACAACATAGTTTATGATGTCTGAAGTGTGACTGTTAAATATTTGATTAACAAACTAAATGTTCTCACAGTAAGTGCCCAATTCACTACTTTTTGATGACTAAATTTGTCATTATTGATCCTCTATAGTGTCGGTAAATTGTTTCTTTTGTAACAACGTTTCTAATGTATCCTAATCTCAAAATGACCATCGACAATAAAACATAAGTATATCCAGTTAACGAACCAGTAATAAGATAAAACTATCGTAGAATGGACAAAATTGCTAGCCAGTTTATTACGGCTTTCAGTAATTAATGAATTGAACATTTTCCAGAAATTCCTGTATTAACAAAACTAATCTGCAAATATTTCAAACAATCGTTGATACATTTCTTAAGCAAATGTTTGTTGGTGGCTAGCAATGGTGTTCATTGATGTTCATACCAATAAATTAAAATTCATCTTCGTCAGATGAAAAGGTTTTCAGCAGAACTTAGTAGCTACGTGAAT